TGGATGCTGGGATAGACTCCACCCCCTGCATCCCTGAGGAGGATGAGCAGAGGAGGAGGGATAGTTGTTTCTCCTGCTAACAGGTGATGTGTGACTTGTTGAGTTTCTTTATTGAAACTTGGAGTCATGAACATATTATAGATGCAGATTAATAAGCCTCACAGCTGCTTCTGCTCACTGGGTTCATTGTCAACATTAAAATCTTTAGAGTTAAAGAGTTTCACTCACAGTCCAGTGGCTTTAAATGAGATGCTGATAACTGTCAGCTTTTTGGGAGCTCCATTTATCACGTGTATGTGTTGATGTAAAAGTTGCCTTTGTGTAATATTTACTTTGATCTCTTGTTTGCAGATTCTTAGAGAAACCAGAGTGATGATCCTTCTAAGGATCCTTGTAACGGTGACACGGAGCTGCCACATCAGACACTCAGAAGAAACTTCTTCTCTGTTCAGGACAACAGATTCATACGTCAGTGAAATGAAATCTTTACTTTCACTCTTGTCTCATATTGAGTCAGCGTGAAGGAAATGCTGCTGTTTTATATTTATTTTAAAGTTATGGCTCATGATGAAATGAATGTTTTTTTATTGTCACATGAAGCAGCGACTTCCATGATGCTCATGAAACATGAAACATGATCATGGCTGTTGTTACTGGGAAATGAACACTAAGCTACAGTAAAGTCCAGCTTTGCTCTGCACTTTAATGTTTGTGCTCTCACACTGTCATTACCTTATTAATGCTGCGTTTCATATCTGTTTCATATCTGTGCTGTTTCATTTAATTAAGACAAATATGGCCTTCATCTTTTATTCATTCTCTTATTTCTCTATGTTTGAAATTATTGTGCAGTGCACCAGTGCTAGCTGCGCCAAATTTTGAGCGCACTGTTACTGGGCTCAGCTAACCCATGTTTAACCAGGTATTCAACTTCCCGTTGCATTAAAATCCACTTGGTTGTATTTACTCTATAAGCATGTTGTTTTATTGGCTTATCAACTTCCACAACGATATCATGAAAGAGCGCAGACGTCTGCTGAGGATGGTCAGAGAAAAGCAGCAAATTAGCTTCAATCAGATCAAGGATATCTTTGCGGGCGGAATCTGACATGTGACAGAAAAGATTCTACGTCCTCTAACACTTCTGAGTTTCGCAAACGGGCCACAGGGATACAACTGCTCTTCTCAATCAAGTCATCATCTTGCAAAACATACAGTGGTGGTGCCGAAAAATTTTAAGATTTGAAATTTTGTATAAAATCCAGAATAAAATCTTTCCTTCTGATTTAATGATTATTTGCTGCTGTAGAGTAGCAGGACAGTGATGGAAACATCCTTCCTAATGAGGAAGTTGTACTTTTGCTGAGCAAGTCTTGACTTATATGTGTATGTCTATGACTTGTATTCTTCTTTCTAAAGTCTTTAAAAGAAGACATTTTCTGTCCTTACACCTGACCATTTTTGGAATATTTACTTAAGTATGACTGACCCGTGAATCTTTCAAGCCTAAATTGTAACCGTGTGTGTGTAAAGGTACGTTTATCTCTGAGGTATAACACTTCTTTTTTAACTCCCAAAAGTCAAAAAATGTAACTACAAACAGTTCAGACAAAGGAATTTCTGTGTTTTTCACTGACTGATCAAAGAAAAAATAATGATGATCAAAAATGTAATAAATAAATAAATAAAATAAAATCTGAGTATTAACTAAATTGTTCTTTTTGTGTGTCTGCAGCTCAGACGCAGTCTCAGATGATTTCCCTCGTTTTGTTTTCACTGATTCATTTACAGTGCAGGGACTAACGTGTTATAAAGTAACTACGTTATTATTGTGGTAACGAGCACGGTAACTAGTTATTATGCCAAAATCAGGAACCCGTCAATCGTTACTGGGATTTAGAGTCGTTATAGGGCTTTGGAGTTGACGTAACGCCGCAATGCATTGTGGGAGTTCAGCACCATATTGGCAGGCCACGACTCAAAGATTCCCCCAAGATTCAAGACTCAAAATTCTTTATTTGTTGCATGCATAGTCATACAAGTACAACACGCAGTGAAATGTATCCTGACCTGCTCCTCGACTGTGCAAAAGAGGGAGAGAAGAACATTATATACATTAAGAAAATATACATAGGGGACATTATGTGCAGTAGTTGAATTGTATTTTTGCAGCAAGTACGTTAATTATGTGCAGTAAATGAATTAAATAAACATCAACACGTTTCAGAAACTGGAGCAACTCAAATTAATCCAGATATAATTAAGAATCAGACAAAAATCCTCTTGTTAAATGTCAGAGGTCCAAAACACATAATTAGTGTCTTCTCAGCAGAAAGTATGTGTGTACTACAGCTGTTTTTATAATCATATATCCAGTCAGTCGTTTCTGGACTTCACATATTTCAGTTCATGGTGTGATTGAGTTGTTATTTGTCAGGTTAATTGTAATGATTCTGGTTATAATTGTTCGTGCATGTTAAGATTATATGTCTCAGTACTTTGATACTATGTTGCTAAGATATTTAGCACTAATAGCAGCGGCCATAATCCCCACAATAATAACATCCAGCTGTATTAGTTAAAGGACTGTTCGACTCTTTAGTTTAACTGCTGCTACTTTTACCGTATTTGTGCCTTAATATGAGCAACTTGTACGACACGTGTTAAAAAGCTTATCTATGGTCTACATGGACCCCTTGTGGACATTGTGAGATATTGTTGTGCGGAGAAGATGGAGTTACTGTATTGTGATCATAGTTATCTGTGACACGTAAACGACAAGTTCAGTTATAGCTGCACCGCCTGGCAAGCACTTTGATGCAAACAAGTCTTCTGTGGGAATTTATTAAAGACCAATAACCCAACTCCTGCACTGCTGCAGTCTTTCCCCAACCAGACCCTGGATCAACAGTCAGGTACGACACATGCTGCATACTCGGTCTCTTGCATTTACATTTTTCCTTCAATTTTGCATTTACGTGTGGACGGGATTTTTTTTTAAAACAAAAATGGAAAATCTCAGTTTTCAAAAATACCCGTGTACGTGTGGACGTAGCCTAAGATGACTTTAGGAATTCTGTGTTGCCTCTTGTTGTTATCTGTAAATAATAATAAAAAAGGTACCTTCACATAATGTGTATATTTAGATTAGAATCCAGACTCTTCGATTTGTTTGCTAGAACATGCATCACATCCGGCTAAAACAAATCTGGATTTTATTCTGTTCAAAGTAGCCGTACACGCACCAAACTGTAAAAGTATCAAACAAGGAAACTGTGACATACTTTGTAAAGATTTTGCGTTTGCACTCTGATAATGACAACAAGCTCGTCTATTCGAGCCTGCAATACTCCAAGGCTGCCATCGGTTTATTAATAAGAATACAGTATGAGTATAATAATAATGGATTGGATTTATATAGCGCTTTTCACACACACTGGTGGAGGCAAGCTACGGTTGTAGACTGACAGACGCAAGGCTGCCATATCACGCCATCGGCCCTCTGGCCAACACCGGGATCGAACCAGCGACCTTCCGGTTACAGATGCGCTTCCCAACCCCGTAAGCCACGGTCGCCCGGTCATAATACACAAAACTGATCACTCACATTTAGCATTCAGTCTTTAAAGCAGAATTTCCAGAGATAGACTTTCCCTTCAAAGGGGGACAGGAATTTTCACACAAATTGAAAAAGTGTATTGAACAGGGCAGGACCCAAAATAGAGCCTTGAGGTACACCGTGTTTAAGAGGGGCTATTTTGGAGTTATGGGGGCCCATATTGATGTGAAAAGACCTTCCTGACAAATAGGACTGAAACCACTGGAGGGCAGATCCTTTTAGGGCCGGCATGAAATTCTAGCCGTGATAACAGGATGTTGTGGTTGACCGTGACAAAAGCTGCTGACAGGTCCAACAATAGAGGCAAGGTTACCAAAAAAGTAGTCCCAGAACTCTTGGACCTGTGTGCTGTAGTTGTATCACATGGTTTTTCCATATGAGATGACTACTTTCCACTTCTTTATTAAACCAGATTTTAAAAAAGACATTTAAAATCTTTATTTTCTTATTTGAAATTAATTTACGAATGTAAAATGATTTCCCGGTGCTGAGCCAGAAAAAGATGCCAGAGTTTAAAGTTAAAAGTGTTTATTTATAATAGTTTAAAAAGTGTGATGCAAATTTTATAAAATCGGTGTCAAAATGCTTTATAAAACCATAAAATACACAAATATCCATTATTTTGACAGCAGCTTGATTCTTAAATACATCAATATCAGTTTTAACAGCACAAACTTCATCTCTGTGAAAGGCACAGCTGCTGATGACTCTGAATAAAAACAGATTTCAACCTGAGAAATTAACAAACAGATGTGAACACCTCCAATACAGACAGACGTTCCTCCAACAAGTCGACTCGACAGGAAGACAAAAGAAAAAGTCAATCTCACCAAGTTTAAATACAGTCAAAGGTTTGCAGGAAACTTTGGTTTGTTCTGACAACAACGTGAAGCTGAGTGATATTTGAAGAAGTCAAAGCAGCTTTTTATTGGATTTTCTCTC